TGGATCTGAATACCTTCCTTGCTAATCTTTTGAAGCTTGCTTCATCTTCTTTTCTGGTTCTTTAAGGAAAGATTGTGTTTCATCTTTAATTTTGCTCCGTTTAGCGTAGTTTTCCAGTGTGTAAGGCTCTTATGGAGGTCAGTATGTGCTGACCTCTGAATAAACATGGAAAAAGACTATTTCCAAGGACAGAACCTTATATTAGCAGTATTGCTGTTTCAATTGTAAACATGATTCATTTCAGTCAAGGCTGTAGCAGAAAACAACCACCTTAGTGTACTCAAGTTGAGTGACTAGTAAGCCAAAATATAAACTGTCCTGATAAGGTGCAGAATTTGATGCAATTCAGCCAGCATGATTAAAGCAGGGATGGGAGTGTATGTAAGACATGAAGAGCTACAGTACTGTTCTTGTTTCCTCCAAACTTTTTTAGATGCTTGTTTAATCATATTAACAAAAAAAAAAAAAAAAACCACAACAAAAAAACCCCAAACCAGAAATAATTGTTTAATTGATAATAAGTTCCTTTAACCAAAAAGTGAATCAAGAAGGAATGAGATTTAGGTTAGCTACTCCAAAAAGTGTATGGTTTCGATTTTGGCACAAGTGATTATTTGTCTTGATAGCAGAGCAGTTGACTTAATTAAAACACTGTCCACATACCTGGTTTGCTCTGATGGAGAATACTGTTACATGAGACAACAGAATCCTTGTTCAACATGCAGGAGAGTATGCTTAACTCTCTTTTCATTCAGTTTTTCTTTCCTCTGTACTACACATTCATTGTATATCTCCTTGGGAAAAAAAAAAAATCCCACAAACACAGTGCCCTGTTGCATGGTATGTGCTTCTGAATGATGCTGCTGTTCAGTTTCAGGCTGAACAGCTGAGCGTGGACCCCCAGAGAGTCTCCTATTTTAATTTTCTAATTTACATTGAGGGTGGTCTCGCTCCATGACTGTACATGCAAGCACCGTAACAGATGATTGAGTGCTTATTTGTGGAAACATGGTACACTGGGGTCCAGAGTATGCCATGGACCAAATTAAGTTAATGATGGCCTTTAGCTAAAGATACAAGGTTAAGACTGTCTTCTACATTTGACCTTCCACTGCTTAAAGTGGGAAAAATTGTGTCGAAATAAAGTTGGGACCCCAGTCTTTGCTTATAAAACAGTCCTCATAGCTTCAATGTTTTCATCAGTGATACTTACTTATTGTGCAGTGATGAATTGAACAAAATCACTGCTTTGGCATGTCAGTACTTGGCCTGCAGAGTGGGTTAATTCATGTGTTCCTAAATGTACGTCAGGCTTCCCTATATAATGACTGTTGGAGACATGCACTCAGGTACCCAAGTGTGTTCTGGCTTTTCAGCTAATGTAGAACAAGCCAATAAGAAATGTTAACAATGCGAATCTGCTGTTTCAGACTGAAAACTCAGAGGATTGGTTGGCCTTCTAAGCAGAGTTGTCTTTGCTGGGATCAGGAGATTTGGATGTCTTCTTATTAAATAGAAACTGAATTCTGCGAGAGTCTGAATGTGCGCAAAAGTAATGTAAATGCTTTAGGAAGGTGCCATACTTGACATGGAGAAGAATTTAAGGAAAAGTATATGCATAGTGTAAAAAGATTGCTTAATCCTTACGTTGCAGCAACTAGCTTAGTCTGGCTGTGCCAAACACCTTATCACTGCGTGTTCTAAAATGTGAAAGACCTAAATTCAGAAGGAATCAAATAGTCTCATGAACATGTAGCGGCAGTGCTTAAAGCTGCAAATTACCTTGTTCAGATTACTGCATTTGCCTTCTAAGAAGCATCCTAGCGTAGAAGAGGAAGACTAGTATGCATAAATCTTGTAAATTCATTCTTAGCAAGGAAGTACAGCAGTTGTTAAAAGTTAATGTAATAAATGATACCAAAACTATTCTCTTGGGGTAACTGTGCCACACTTGGATGTTTTTCTGATAATTAGAATTACGTGAGTAGTTCCATCATCTGGAATATCTCTGTTCTTTTTATAAACACTGTTGAAATTTTCTAATACTTCCCAAGTAGATGAGAGGGTTTTTTTCCCTGTTTTATTCTGAGAGAACGAGGAGAAAAGAACATATTGCCTGAAGTCCTGTAGACTGTCTATACCAAAGAGACAATGGATATGTAGATGTTATTACAATGGAGTATTATAGTGTATTATATTCTAGTAAGTATATGATATAATGATTTCACTGTTATGGCTGTAAGAGTAGCCACAGCTCTTAAAAATTGGAAAAGTGACCGTGCATATGAATACCTGTGTTACCAAATCATCCAGAGATAAGTTCAGTTCACCGTTACTATGTGGAAATTGAATAGATTGCATTTTAAAAACAATGTGTTAAGAGTTCCTTCTAGTCAACACTTTTGCTCTCCCACTGAGTTGTGTGGAAGCACCATACTAGGCATGTGCTATTTTTAAAGGAAAGTTAAATCTAAAAGTTATTTGTGTGGCTTTTTGTAAGGGTTGTAAATTCAGATGGTTATTAGGAGCTTTTCTGCAGGGGAATTGACTCTGTCTTGAGTTTGGGGTTTCTTATGAAAATGCTTTGTATGTATATTTGAGTTTGAAGTACAGCAAGACCTCTCATGCTCCTTTACCACACATGTAGCATAGGGCTTTTCCCCAAGAAATGAAATAGAGCCTGGGAAAAACGCCACTTTTCTCTGAATTGTGTTTTCATCACTATTACTCATTCTAAACGCACGTCAGGGTGAGGAGTCTGTTCCTGGACACTTATCTCTGCTGATGGGCAGCTGGCCAAGGAGCAGCCAAGAAGAAGGAAAATATTCAGCTGGTCACTCTTATGAACAAGATGGAGCATAACTCTTAATGATGAGGTGCTTTGGGTCTCGTTGTGTGCGCATCTGAAATTGAAGCAGTCATCTCAAGTTGCTCTCTGCCTGAAGAGTCAGCCTAAAATTAATAGCTAATGGAGAAGCGAAGGAAGAGACAAAGTGGAACCAGATGGGCTCATGAACACAGATACATCATTTCATTTAACTTGTGCCATGACACTGCTGATTTGTATCAGCTCCACGGAGTATTAGGATTGTCTGTTTTCAGAAAAAGTAAAGATTTTCCTAAAAGCTGCTTGCTTCCTGTCCACTTTTATTTACTCAGTGAATGTGTAATGGTTTTGAGGTTGCTTCAGCCAGGTCTCCAAGTATCAAATGATGAACTCCTATGAGAAGCATCTAGCTTTTTATAAATACTTAGCTGCCCTGCTCTTTAATCTGGGCTCTTCAGTTATCACTCATTGCCGCATTACAGCGTATATAGACCAAAGTAAAAAAACCCTCAAACTAATGTTTCAGCCTTTTCAGCACTTTTGATAACTTTGCCAACCATTTCTTGGTTTTCCTCTTATTTTTTTGTGTTTATGGGGTGATTGTGTGGGTTAGGTGTTGTGTCTCTTGCTAGCCACATCTTGTTTTGTCCTTTAGCCTTTCTGGGTTTTGTTGGTCTTTTGTGGTCATATTGCTTTATATTTGTCCCTGCTTACTTTGACTTAATATCCTTTGTATGTTATTGCCTTGTACTTGGGATTAGCAATGTTTTCATTTCAGGCAGTTTGATCTCTTATGTCAAATCTAGTGCATTGAAATAGTTTGTGCTTATGCTTTTGGGAGCAGTTGCACCCCTAATTTGTTTTTTATTCTCTACGTTTCTTTCCTCAGGAATTATACTTACCAGCTGACTGAATCAATGGCATGAAGAGAAGAAAGTGCATTTCTGTATTTTCTTTATTCATTCCTCCCTCCCCTTTTAATTTCTCATGAGTTGTGAATTCATCACTTCATGATTAATTTTACCCTTGATTGCCTTTTGTCTTAATGTTCTCAATCAGGTTTTTATCTCTACAATGTAGAATGAAATGTGGATGAGATTCCACATTGGTTATTTCTTTTGTTGTCTGTATTAGCATGTTATCACCAATATATTCAAGAATTCAGCAATTGTCCTATATCCTGTTGCATTCCCAACTTTCTGTTGGGAAAGGGCATTTTGCTTTAGCCCCTTTCCCTTCTGGTGAAATCTAGAATGCTCTTGCTGAGGGAAACACGGAGTACACTAACGGTTTGTTTAATAATAGTTTCAGGAGTGATTTGTTGATTGTCCCTCAGCTGGATTGGGGCACACTGCTGCATGTGCCCTAAAATATGTAGAGGGGAGATGGAGCTCCTGGAGGAAGCTGCTAGTGTGTCCAAAGCCTGCAGCATATGAATATTGATATATTGATAACGGGGCCGCCATCAGCTTCACAGCAAGAGGCCACGGGATGGAATTTGCTCAATTTGCTTGTGCTTGCATTCACACTAGCTTCAGGCTGCAAATGTCATCTCATGTCTCTGCTGTACATCAGAGCCTGCAGATCTTGTAGTCCTTCTCCACGTGAAGTGCAGGGAGACAGCTGGGATTATGAAGCCATTAAAAGCTACCTGTGTAGGAGATGTATTTGATTTTATATGCGCGCGCATGCAGACACGCGTATTTTTATTAGCCATCATGGTAATGTTTGGCCAGCTGCCTGGAAACTATTCTAAACTCTACCCAGAGTGGGAGCTTGTGAAAAATAGGCTCAAGTGTATGGATGGCGTGTTCGTTTAGCAGCTCCCTCGTTTCTACTCCATTATAAATATTTACCTTTATTCATCAGTCCTCGACAATCACTTTACTGGCCGTCTTTGGCAAGAAGCTAACATTGAGAATGTATATATTTAAGTGTACTGGACCACACTAGTGGTTAGGTAATTAAATCTGAAATTATTGGAGGTGGGAGCATAGGATTGTGTTGTAACTTAAGTGCAGCTTGCCTTTTTTTTTTTTTTTTTTTAAAGGGTTTCTGACTTTGGGACAGTTGCGGGCTATTAATAACAAAATCTGTTTTTAGAGATGCCAATCTCTTTGACTTAATGTGCTACCCTTTCTTCCCCCCCTGTTGTTTTTCTCCAAACCATCAGGTCCCGAGCCTCTGTGAAGATCTCCTCTCCTCCGTTGATCAGCCATTGAAGATTGCACGAGATAAGGTGGTAGGAAAAGACTATCTATTGTGTGACTACAACAGAGATGGAGACTCGTATAGGTGAGTTCATATGCAAAGCAAGGAACTAACTGGTTTACTTTGTAAGTGAGAGCTATGTACTAGTATTGCAGACCTTCTTATTAATTTTTTTTGGCTAAAAATGATATTAAACTCTTCTCAGCAATGAAGCTGGGGCTGTTTAAAATCCTCTTCTCTTTCATAAGACATTGACTGTGGAGGTGGTTCTTAATATTTTCATAATGTGAGAGGACACAAACATCTTCATCTCCAGACCTCTGCAGTGTGCTTCAGTTTCAAATAATGTGGTTGTATGGCAGCTAATCTGATGACCTTTGCAAAGCAGATCCCTGGGGTGGGTGAGCACCAGGTGCCCACCAAAGCCACTGTGTCACTCCCCTCCTCAGTGGGGCAGGGAAGAGAAAACATAACAAAAGGCTCGTGGGTTGAGATAAGGACAAGGAGATCACTCAGCAGTTACTGTCATGGGCAAAACAGACTTGACTTTGGGAAAATTAACTTTATTTATTACCAATTAAACCAGAGTAGGGTAATGAGAAATCAAAACTAAATCTTAAAACACCTTCCCCCACCCGTCTTTTCTTTCGGGGCTCAACTTTGCTCCCAATTTCTCTACCTTCTGCCCCCGCACAAGGGGACGGGGAATGGGGGTTGTGGTCAGTCCATCACCCGTTGTGTCTGCTGCTCCTTCCTCTTCGTGGGGGAGGACTCCTCACACCCTTCCCCTGCTCCAGCATGGGGTCCCTCCCGTGGGAAACAGTTCTCCAGAAACTTCTCCAGTGTGAGTCCTTCCCACGGGCTGCAGTTCTTCATGAACTGCTCCAGCGTGGGTCCCTCCCACGGGGTGCAGTCCCTCAGGACCAGGCTGTTCCAGGGTGGGCTCCTCCCCACGGGCCCACAGGTCCTGCCAGGAGCCTGCTCCACCGTGGGCTCCCCATGGGGTCACAGCCTCCTTTGGGCATGACCTGCTCTGGTGTGGGGTCCTCCATGGGCTGAAGGTGGAGATCTGCTCCACCACGGAGCTCCGTGGGTGCAGGGACAGCCTGCCTCACCGTGATCTTCACCGCGGGCTGCAGGGGAATCTCTGCTCCAGCGCCTGGAGCACCTCCTCCCCCTTCTTCTTCACTGACCTTAGTGTCTTCGGAGTTACTGTTCTCACTCCTCTCTACAGCTGTTGGGTTTTTTCCTCCCTTTTTAACTGTGTTATCCCAGAGGTGCTACCACCATCGCTGATGGGCTCGCCCTTGGTCAGCAGCGGGTCCAGCTCGGAGCTGACTGGCATTGGCTCCGTCGGACATGGGGAAGCTTCTGGCAGCTTCTCACAGAAGCCACCCCTGTATAGCCCCTAGCTACCAAAACCTTGCCGTGCAAACCCAGTGCAGTCTTCATTGTCTGTCTCTGGAACAAGATGTGTTTTATCTTAGAAACCATGGTGTTTCTGTATGTTTTCTTTACTGTGACTTGCCGTCATTGGCGGAAACTTAAACTGCGATGTTGCCATCTTGTTAAAGGGCTGACTAATGTATTTCTCTTAGACTTTCTGTCGCATAGTTATATCTTAGAGATCCAACTGGTTTTAATTCTCTAGGAGAAATGGCTGTGATGGCCTTGATATGAAATTAAACCATCTATTGTTGCAAGGTTGTAAAATCTTTGGAATGGATAATGACACAAAAGAGATGATGCAAGCAGTTGCTTTAAACAAAATCATATTCTGCTTGTACAAAACAGGGTGGACTTGCCAGCTGGGAAAGTCTCTTTCATTCGTGTTTTGCAAGGGATTGAGTCTGACTTTGGACATGCAATGTCATTAGTTCTGTATGAAAATCTTGGCCCAAGTTTTTAGCAAAGAAAAGGAATCCCTCTCTACCAAAATAGCTGATTTATTCTGAGGACTGTAGACAAAAGCAATTCAAATATTTGAACAATATAAGCTGTATGTAATTATAGTATAATGAATTTTGAAGTAGAAGGCTGTAATACTGGAATGGAACAATGAGTTTTCAGTATTTTGGCTGCCGCTTTGAATGTAGTCTCTCTTTTAATGGCTTTATTCTATACCTTGCTATTAGGGTGATTACAGTTGAGCGATTTCTTCCCCATTTTTTCGCTGCCTGATTTTTCGTAATGGCTGTAGTGACAGTGGCATAATTCCAAATATTTAATTAAGAGTCACAAAGCTTATGGTCCAGAAGCCTTTGTGAATATTGCATCATCCAGCTTTTATCCTTTTCACTTAAGGAAGGGTGCTAAGCTGTGAAGTAACAACCACCATTCGTCTTCTGTCCTGAGTTAACAGCTCAGCCCTTCTGCTTCTTCTGGTTATGATTATAAGGGTTACATCTCTGGCTCTTCTTGTAGCTTCAGTATAATGGCTTACGTTTTTAGTGCTAACAATTGGAACTGATCTACAGTAAGAATCTAGCTTTGCTTTGTGCAGATTTACAGTAGTGTTTTACATTCATCCGGCCAGAATGCTTCAAGAATTCTATTTCAGAATGGAACTCCAGAAAATATTTAAACATTTTTTTTAGTTTGGCTCAGGCCATCGTTGCAGAAGCAGGTAAGCTTATAAAGGATTCTAGATTAATTTGTTTTGATTGCTTTCAGGTGAGGAAAGGTACTTACCTAAACTGAAAGCATATCTGTCTGTAGGTGGTTTGCACAGAGAACTTGCTGTGATTCATTTAGTCCCAGAAAGAGGAGGGGACTGATTTTGGATGCAGAGTTTGACAGTGCATCTGGATTGTGGCTGAGTGTAAATCTTCATGAGGTTTTTTTTTTTTAAATATAACCTATTGCAGTGGGCCGAGAAGTAAGAAGGTCTCTAAGGTGAAGTGCTCACTCGTGTTCTTTAGTGTACTAGTCTAACATTGAAAATTTGTTCAGACTTCTACAAAAGAGCCTGGTGCCTTATAAACGCATTAGTGCATTATGCTTTTATGTCTAAATTGGTCAGATCTATGTTAGTAGCTACATGCATTGAATCAGTTCTAAATTAGTAGCTAGAGTAGAGTTTTATAGCTTCTGTCCTCTGCAAGATGTACTCAGGCAGCTGCAGCATCTCTGGCAGATACAAGAGAAGGGGTTAGATCCTGGATTTCTTGTGGGTCTTTCAAGAGATGCTTTCTCACTGAAGTTGTGATATGTTTCTTGCAGTCCCCTTGCGTCTTATTAGGCTGTTGACATGAGCATCTATCACCAGAGGCACAGAAAACTTGAAAAGGCGCTTGTTAAACAGTATTGTGACATGCTGCAATAACTAATAACACTTGCTCCCCCTCCCTTGGTGTTTAATTAGGGCATGGGGTAGCCTTTTCTTTCAGGTTAGTTCCATTCTTGTCTCTGAAATTTGCTCAATCTCTTTCTTTCTGAGGAGATATTTTAAATAGTAACAAGGCAACAGGAAGGCTTGTTTTTTAAATCACTTCAAAATTCTCAGGAGTTATTAAGTAATGGAGTTTCAGAAAAGCTATTTCATTTGCTTATATAGGAGAGGCATAATGTATTAATTGCTGACATTAAAGAATGCTATTCTCTGAGGCTTTTAATTCAAGTGTTCTGGATTGAAGTGATTCTTCCTTCTGGAATTGATAGGTCTCAGCTCTGTTTTGTGAAGTAAATTCTTTCCTTCAGCACAAAGCAAAAGCCTTTGAAAACCAAGCAATACTAACATGTGCATGTGTTAATCCTGTTCTGTGCCTGTGTTCAGACACTGTTATTCATACCTCATAAAATCTGAAGTTGTTACTTGGGAAGTGGCTCTTACACTAATTTAATCAATTAGGCCAAAATCTAGGAGGAGTTTAGTGTGCTTTTAAAAGCTTTTGATATTTCCACAAAGATTTTTCAGAACCACATGCTTGATTAGAAGTTTTAAGAAATACTATTCCCTGCCTGTGACATGCTACATCCCCAATTACTGCACACTTCGAACTAAACACCAGTTTTCTTCTTATTGGAGAGGTTGCTAATTGCATTTCTTTTAATTCTAATCCAAGAATTTCAGAGCATTCTCTGGACAACAGAGGCTCATGCTACTTCTGCAGGAAAGGTGGAGCTACGTAGTCAGACTTTCTTACTGGGAACCAAGTTTTATAGGGTTTTTTTGAGTGGCTTTACAATTTGACTGGGAATTAGCTTTGAAAAAAAAAGCTGCTGCAGGATGTTTGGCTGTTCAAGTGATAACTTCACCAATTTCATGGGACAGCATTCAGGGAAATGAATATCCTAATGCTTAGCCCATCACCTTACTCCTTGCTCAGACAGAATTGATCTGATCCATGTTCAACATGGAGAAAAACAGAAGGTAGATTTTTGGAGACACTCTTGGATCTCCATAAATAAGTAATTTTCAGTTTTTTCATATTATTGCACTGCTGCTTGTGGGAGGAGCCTTTTGTGCGCAGAGGCTTGCAGTCACTTCTGTGAGTGCCCCTGTATTAACAAAGGTTTGTGGAAGATCTCAAACAGCCGTGGAATCCACATTGTGAAAGCAGAGCTTTTATTATTTTTTTTTTTAAATACAAGACTTCAAGGTCCTTGACTTTGTCCATATATTTCCACTCTTAAGTATGTTTGATCACTCTATTAAATGGAATCCTTATGGGGAATTTGGTACAAACAACACTGAAACCTGTTAGCTGAAACAAAAACCATTCTCTTTTAGGGAAATTAGAGGTCTGACTTTTGAAATTTAAGTGCTTGTCTGTCTGTCTTTAGCCTCTGTTTAAGTTTTTAAATGTGTTGAGTACTCTTCCACAAAAAGAAAAAAATTTGGGGTTGTGTTACGAGGGTTGGTTTTTTTTTTTTAGGTGAAGTTGGTGCTGACTCCAACTTTAATGTGTTGAAAATACAACAATCTGCTAGCTAGAAGAATCTATGTTGCTAGGCTTCCCTTAAATCCCATTCCTGCAGCCTGCAAAAGACATCTAATGTTTATAATTAAACTATCTTGACTGTGGCTTCTGCATGGGTTCTCTGCTCACCGATCCTCATACAGGATGAAGCACAGTGTTCTGAATTTACAGAAGACACTAGAATTTTTTTTGGAATCTGCCTTTTAAAATATGGTAGAGAAAGTGCATGCTAGTGAACGCTGCTGCTAAGGCAGCAGCACACTTCTGCATTGCCTGGCGTATGAACCCTGGCTTTGCTTTTCATGACAGCAAGGTCAGTGTTCTGCCTGAACTCCTCTGGTGTCATTTGGGTTTGTGTGTACTGCCTGATGGGTGTAGGTGTGCCATTTGGGAATCCCACAGATAGCACCAGTGGCGATTTGTGTGCGAATCTTTCTCCAGACTTCAGAGTTGCTCAGCAGAGGAGCCCTACTGTAGCTGTCGACTTTTCTTCAAAGCAACTGAGTTTTAAGCAACTGTTTTAAAATGAGAACCACCACCTGAAAAACATTGCTCTGGGTGGATGTGACATAATGATTTAGCTTTTCCTGGTGTCTCACCTTTTGATTCAGATGTGGTAGTTTTGTGAGAGCGCAAAGCCAGAGCAAAGCAGAGCCTGTTCTTTGTGCTTTGCATTAAACAGATGTCAAAACTTGATGCCTTTCGGAGAAATGAATAACAAATGGCTACTGAGGAAAAAGCCCCTATGTATGGACTGCATTAAGACCTAGTCTTAGTAGGCTGGAGTATTTTGAAAAGTGAGTAGGTAAAGAGTGGAGGTACTTTGCTTTTAGTGATATATGTAGGTTGGTTATTCACAGGGGAAATGAAAAGGAGAATGCAGGTTTACAGAATGGGGTATATAAAAGTCTCAAGCAGATGGGCAAAGGGTTCCATTAATCTTTTAATACCAAATCTTTCATTAAGAGCACAAAATGTCTTCCACACCTGCAGAAATCGTAGTAAAACCTTCAGTTTTACAAACCCTGTTAAATTCTTCAAACTGTTCAAATGTTTTTGTAATGTTATACTAAAAGTAGAGTTTATTTCAAAGCAAAATAGTGGAGGAGAATTTGGATCTTAATTGTAGACAGCAGTGTTTGGCTCAGATACTCTCAGATCCCAAATAAACTGCACAATCTATTTGCATTTGCGTGAAAATAATTTTAAATATCTAAAGTGCAACAGCTGAGGTCTCATTTTTTAATATTTAAGAAGGAACAGATTCAAGCCCAAGCACGATTACTTATATGGTAGAAACCTGATGATGAGGCATGATCCCCAGGTACACTGTAAACTTTGAGGAGTCAGTGTCCCCTTTCTGTCAGTGTCTGGAATGGCTGCTGAGGGTGCAATTCTTACAGACAGCTCTCGGTACCTTTTGTTTTTCTGCAAGTTCTGCATCTGTGGATCAGGTCAGACCCACCAATCTCAAACCTTTCAGAGTTTGTCTCGGTTGTCTAACTGTCTGTTTTCCTCGTCTCTTTGGCAGATCACCATGGAGTAACAAATACGATCCCCCCCTGGAAGACGGTGCCATGCCATCTGCTCGCCTGCGCAAGCTGGAGGTGGAAGCCAACAATGCCTTTGACCAGTACAGAGACTTGTATGTCAGTTCTACCGTACAGAGCCCTCTGCTTTCTTTGTTTCCTTCAGCAGGCATGCAATGCACACAATGAGCCTAAAATGTGGTCACTAGCTGCCTCTGGGAGTGGTATAGCAGAGGAAGAAGGGTAGGCAGCCGCTGATCCGCTGTTGGGAAGCGTATCCGCTGTGATTTCATGATACGAAAACGTGATCAAATGTGTCAGCTGATGCTAAGGGCAGATGCTGAGGTGCTTTCCTGCCTCCCTTCCCGCTTTAACAGATTAATGGCATCTTTGTCCTGAAATGACCTGTGTTCTCTTTGATCTTGACTACGTTCAGTGTTAAACCATCTGCTTTTTCCGTTCCCTCAAGACTGTGCTCTCTCAAAACACCTCTATATGTAGCAGCAACTTTCACATCTTCGAGTAAGATGACAGGCAGCACTACTGAAATGCAGCAGTTGTGTGGGGATTAATGTACTTCTGCTGCAAAGGCCATTCTCTGGTGCTTGGTTTAGGCCCTGTCTTGGTGGAGGTGTAAAGCAAAGGAATTTGTAAGCATGTGTAAGATAAATGTGGATTAGGGTGAGATTTGTCAGTTCAACAATTTTTCTACAAGGTGGGACTACACTGGTCTTTCATTGCAATCGCGTCCAAGGTCTCGAGATGGGATCAGTTTTTGCTGTTGTCTTTATAGATTGTGTTCTCCTAAGCAGTGATGGGATGGAGATGGTAATGCTGAATCTAAAAAGCAAGGGTGTGTTGCAAAACAAACCCGAACCACTGCTTTATCCCATAATGGAATGCTTTCTTACTGGTGATGCCTAATAACCGTGAAAAAGGTGAACAAAGTTCATTGCTTCTTCACATTGCCTGAAAATGGACATGAATCATGTCCATTGTCACCATGTGCCACTGCACTATTACAGTGCTAACAAAAGCAGGTTAAAAGGTACTTTTCTTGGTAGATTTTTCATTTTAATATGTGGCTTAATGTAAATGTAGCCTGTCCAAATGTGTAATCTTCACACTTTAACTACAGGTATCAAATTTTTACTTCCTTTCATGCATTTTTACAGATATCCAACTTCTCTTGTAAGTAACAGTTGTTATTGGTGTCTGAACTTACTGGAAGAAAGGAATTTTGCGTAGGCAGCAGAGAGGTTTGCAGTTACAGACCAGGACCAATAGGATTTTTAATACACTAAGATGAAAATGAGTAGGTTTATGGAGCCAAAGTTGTCTTTTTAAATCCCTCTGATCTGTGACCATGAAGTCACAGCTGGATACAATAACTTCTTCAAAAAGGTTTCATTTGCTGGAAGGAAAGCACAGTATAGGATACTCTGACTTAGGTGAATCTGCTGAACCTGGTTCAGCATGTGGTACAACAGTAGCTTTAATATATCGTATGGGAGTAAAAGGCAAGATTGTATCAAATTTCATCTTTCAGTTTGTCAGTCCATGTTTTATAGGCGAGACATTGTTAGAGGGGATACGGGAGGGATTTCTCACAAAGACTTCATTCTCGTGTCATCAGCCAGAAATGACGGAGGCATTATGACTCGCGGTGGAGTCAGACTAGATAAGTCCATCTGTCAGCAGAGTACGCTTTATGATCTCAAAACTGTGTCAGAAAAAGAGAAGGGTGGCTTTCGTTTTGCTGAGTGGTGTGAAAATTGTGGCATTTTCAGAAAGAATTTGCAAAGTTAGGGAAACAACTAGACCATTTGAAGGGTTCCTCATGCTTGAAATTGGAAATGATTTGTACTTTACCTACAACAGAGATTTGGACAGAAACATGCTTTTGTTTTACTAGTTGGACTCTGCAGTTTCCTTAATAAGACAATTGGATTTTCTATTTTGACAGCAGAAGCTTAATTTTTACTTGAGAGATTGGAGGGGGAGGGGGGGGAAATGAGGTGAGGGTAACAAGTGCCAGCTTTTCTCACTGCTGCTTGCTGGTCTCGCCAACATATCAGGTTGGGAATGACTGTAACAATTACGCGCATAACAGCTGCTGAAGCCATGTGGGAGTCTGAAGTGTGGGGAAGGTTGTAGTTGGGAACAAGATGGCAATTGCAGTGATGTAATTTCCATGGTCTGCTAGAGCTGGAAGCTAATACTGCATACCCACTGTAAAGCCAGAAGTAGGTCTGAGCCATGTGATGTCGATTAAAGGTGGCACTGGCCTTGTGGTTGAGCAGCTTGCAGCGCTGGGAAAGGGGCGCACGATCCATCGGTTCCGGGACAAAGTTAGCAGCGTTGGTTCAAGTTCCAGAGCCAGTGACAACAGAGGTTCTTCCAGCATTGTGAAATATTTCAGGTTTATTTGAAAGCGTTGAATGTATTAATCAAAAAAGTAGTGTGCTGGCAGTCTTCAGAACTGTATCTTTTGTGGAAATTATCCTTTCTGTTATATGGGAAGATTTATACCAGCTCCACCTTCCAGTAATAGTGTTCATTTTGTAGGCAGTATGCAAAAAAACTTTCTTGAGTTGCCCTGCAGAGACTTTCATTGTCTCTGTTCACTCTGATGGGGTTGTCTGTCCAAACAGACCATTCATAGGCAACACCAAGCTAATTGATGCTTCACGTTATAAGCTCTTTCTTTAAAACTCACAAGTTTAAATGCAGTGGCTCTTGCACTGTTAAGACTTTTGGCTTGCATTGCAATTAAAGAGGATGAAAATGATGCTGAGAGAGAAGCCTCAGATCTGACACAGGCTCTTGTGCAGCAGCCCCTTAAGAGGCTGTTCTGTCCCACTCTCTATGGGGTAGAGAAGGTTTTTGAACTACACCTCTAACCACAGCTATGCTGTGTTTTATGGTAAAGAGGTAACAGTTAATACAGAAATAATCTTATGTAAGCAGTCATTCACAGAGAACACCGGGCCCCAGTGTGCTTGAATTTCCTGGGCTGTTAGACATTTTATTTCTGTAATGAGGGTTTCTGCTACATTTTTTTTTTCAAAGCAATTTGTGGCTTTGTTTCCAGCCTTGCTGGGCTAAACTGCTGGATCTTGTGCTTGCAGTCATCTAGCCAGTATGGACTGCCTGTCGCAGAAAGACATTGTGTATCTTAATACTTTGTAAGCACTTGTCTCTGAGGTGTGGCTCTGCATGGTGCTCACTTCACTTCCCAGCTTTAAAATACATCTTACACTGGTCATTGCAGCAGCAGGGAGTGGAAGAGGATGATGTTTCCTTTCTAGAGAAAGATAAGTACTTTTGAGAACATGTGCCATTCCCACTCTGCTTTCAGCATATGGTCCAAGCTTCCTCTGAATTATTTCCCATTTTACCTTTATGCACAGTAAATGATAATATCTCACTGAGTTCATCTCGGGCGTCTCCTAAGACTTCAGATAGTTTCAGTTTTTCCTTGTGTCAGTCCCATTTGGCCCACATACCATTCCTTTTTAGATTTCTGTTTTAATCAGGTGTGGTAAGTATCCACCTACATTTGATGAGTCATTGGCATCTATTTGCCATTTCCCAAGGGGTTGGCACCTGCTAGTGTGGGTGTTTTGAGGGAAGCAGCTTGTTATGCATTTGTTAACAATTTGTGTGAAATAAGCTGTTCAGATTTGCTCACCGGTGACTAGTCTTAAGTTTTAGTTTTGTCCCCGAAAGCTTATTGGCCAGCACACTGAGTAACTGTAGTGTGAAAATAAGTTTGGAGAAGTCTTGTAGTATCACACGGACTTGTTTCAAATCATGAAAGCTTGAGAACAACTTGGTTGAATCTTCAGTGGCTCCCAACCAATGCTGAGTTGTTCCCTCTAAGTGTTTTAACTCCAGCTACCTTTAGGTATCTCTAGAGTTGCCCACCTTTAATTTCTGGAGGCATGTTCGTGTCTCTTTGGGTCAAAGAGGAATCATACTAGGTTTTAATTCCTTCTCTATTATATATGTTAGACAACAAGCATATTTCTTGGTTATCTGTTTTACCAAAATGCATGTCACTTTCCCAAAAAACAACTGTTTAATTTTGATCTCCTGCTGCCAGGTTTAACTCAGACACTGCCTGAAGCTAATGCCCTGGTATGTTTTTGTTCAGTAGGTTATTATTCCCAGATGGAAGTCTAATATCTTACACCATTCAGTTAGAGCCTTGGCTCTCCACTTCCAATATTGTGAAGATAATTTCTTCAAACACATGGTTGTAATTTATTGCCCTTTGCTTGACGTGTGTGTGCGATTGATTGAAATCAAAGCATAATGAGGACCAGGGCATCTGGTTAAATCTATCTATTTTAGATTCTGTGTTCCGTTGTTTTGGGTTGGAGATAATCAGTGCTTTAATTAAGTAATCTAATCGTTCTTTGTTGTCTGGAAGAAATAATTTCTGAAGTGATTAAATAGACCTCCCTGGGGAAGGATGCTGCTGATCTGAATATTTCTACAAACAAGATGAGTTTTGGCAACTTTGTACTGGTTTATTAAGATGACATACATTTAGAAAACTATTCCTCCTTTGTTTTTTGGGTTAAATTGGATTTACTGGTGCTTTTGATTTTTAATAGGTTTAAAACAAAATATATTAAAATTGTTCATCTTAATCATTCTGCTCCTGAAAATGTTTTTATTGATTAAGGATTTCAGTTCCCTCAACAGGATAAGCAATGAAGCCTTTTGAACTTCTTCTCTGTGTTTTGATGTTGATCCATTTTCAATTTGTTATATTACAGCTCTGGACAAGGAATTTGGTAGAAGCGGAAGAAGGTCTAGGAGAGGATTGACCTCTAAAATGTCTTCATTCTGTGTAATCCTTTTATTATTGAATTTTGGATTAGAACCCAGACCAAAATGGAGCTAGTCACTCAAATTTTTGATGGTGTTAGCAGTGCTAAGGATGGCACTGCTGCCAACCAAGCATTTGCAGTACTTTTTGCAGCACAGATAGTGCCTAAACTGAACATCCATCACTCTTTTTCTTTTCAGCGCAAGGACAAAAGGTTCCACTCACTTCCTGGATGCACGTGCTTTCAGGAATATGTAGATTCAGGAGCCTGTT